ATTAATAAAGAAAAATAATTTATCAAACCCAGGGTCTTTTTTTGTTATATCTGACTGAAAAGGAGACTAAATATTTGATACAAGAACATTATTTTACAAAAAGAATTAAAAATGAAGTCTAATGCTAAACAGATAAAAATGAAGTAAGCATATTTTTAGGCATAAAACTGTTCTAGATCTCCTGAAGTCCCGTAATCTCATTCAAACAATGAAAAGCTTTTGCTCTGAAGTTATGCAAATGAGTTAAAAAGCTGTTCAAAATAAAATACTTGAAACCTGTGTTTATTAATAATCTATATTACTGATATAATAGCAAGATACTTGATATTTATAGCTAAAATTTTCTAAAATTTTAGTTTATACCATTTTGTGTTTAAATTAATATAAAAATAAACATTAAAATGGTCCATATTGTATATTGTTTTAATTTAAATAAAAAAAAATCTGGAAATTCCCCTTCTCAGAATATCACAGTTACAGGAAACATAAGTAGATCACTAGGTACCCAATTTCATCTCCCACTAACTCTCATTAAAGTTCTAGGATGTGAATAATTTATAGAGACTAAGGCTATGATCACACCACTCCAGTACTCTTGCCTGGAAAATCCCATGGATGGAGAAGCCTGGTAGGCTGTAGTCCATGGGGTCGCTAAGAGTCAGACACGACTGAGCGACTTCACTTTAACTTTTTACTTTCCTGCACTGTAGAAGGAAATGGCAACCCACTCCAGTGTTCTTGCCTGGAGAATCCCAGGGACGGAGGAGCCTGGTGGGCTGCCATCTATGGGGTCGCACAGAGTCGGACACGACTGAAGCGACTTAGCAGCAGCAGCAGCAAGGCTATGATACTAATCTTACATAATGAAAATAAACTTCATAAAGATTCTATCTGTGAAAAATTTCTCTAACATGAGGAAGAGCTTTCCACCACTCAACACTATAAGACTATCTATCCCCCATACCTCTCCGATCAACTGATTTTGATACAGGAGCAATAAATTCAATGTTAATTAAAAGAAACAGTTAAATAGATGAATCAAAGCTATATCAAAATTCCATGTCAAAATCCCAGAAATTAACATTTTATATAATATTCTCCCTTTTAGTATCATTGTAGTCTCCATTTTAGTCTATTATGATCATTGAGATCCTTTATAGTCTTCTAAAAGAACTGATACACTTAAGAGGAAAATATTCACGTATAGCTTTGATGTATGCAAATAATTTATGCAACTTTTTTGATTTAAAAAAAGGTCCCAAATGAATTAATAAGAATCTCTTACTGAATTCCTGCATATCATTCAAGTATACATCATTTTACTGAAAAATTCACAATATAGTTGATATTAAAACTCAAAATATTTAATAGTAACTGTATTATAATATTCTGCTTATAACACTTGGCATTTGATATGATGCAGTCAAAACAAAAATTATCTTCTAATTGATCATAACTTCTATTTAACCCCGCAAAACTAAATGCGTGTTATGAGAAACAGTGTTTTCAGGACATACAATTGACTTTTAGCATAACTTTGCAATGTCAAATGAAAGCAGTTCCTTCTATATTGGCATCATGGTAATAATCTCTGTATTTTTAACCATTTTGAAACACTACCTCCCTGTTTCTCAGTGCCTTTCTTAAATTCATTTGGTAAATGCCTTCGGGACTAACAGATACTTTTTCTTTCGCATTTCTTAAGTGGTGCTAAAAATTCATGCTTTCAGTAGATACTTAGAAATGGCCAAAACTGATTTGGAAATATGTTTGGAAATTTACCATTTGGGGTCAAAACTGATGTAAACTATAAGCATTGAGGAATCTTTTTTTTGCATGTCTTAGAATTTCATTCTGAAGGAAAAAGAGTTCCAAAAAGCATTCTAGATGCTTTAAACATGCTCTAATCTCATGATAAACTATTTTATGTAAAATATTCAGTTTCCTATGTGTGTGTATATATACATACACATATATAGTTTATGCTTATATAAAGTATAAACTATAATATACAAGCATATATATTTATAATATATAAGCATATATATTTATAAATATATAAGTATATATATTTATGCTTATCTCCATACATATTTTAAACTATGAATATATGTTAAGCATTGCTATCATGGGGAATCAAACATTTAATCTATATATATTTGTATTACTTGGATACAGTTATAACATCGTATAGGAATGATCTGCCTTTATCTTAATTTTTAAGGACAAGATATGTCGTTAAAGGAATAGATATTTACATGAGATCATAAGTGAAGTACCATGATTCAGCTCTCTTTTTCCTTTCTATAAATAAAAAACAAGGATGCATGTGCTTTATATGGTTATGAATTTTATTACAGCTCCATAGTCACACTTGAGAAAGGAAATTCTTAACTTGCAAATGTAAGAGCTTTACTGAGATAACTGTTGAGAAATCTGGTTTAGAGAGACCAGTGTGTCTTTCAACTTCATGAACCACATCAGTATACTCTATCATTTGGTTCTACGTTGGTGGAGCAACTGCAATTTAGGATTGGGGGTTCCTCTGAAATATACCTAGAGAGGTACCCCAAGCACTTACTGCAAACTTGGCTTAACTCACAACTTGCACAATTGCTTAAAATAAATACTAAGCAATTTCTTCTATGAAAGACAAAAAGGAACAAAATGACAAGTTAGAATCTTTGAGTGTACTTTTTAGTAATTATGTAAACTGTTTGATTGAATAGCACAGTCAAACTATCTATTCTCTATTTATAGTCCAAATCTGAAATTAATCACATATCACTTACACCAAATCGTCATTAACAGAACACATGAGAAGCTAAAATTTGATCAATATAGTCATCCATGAGGAATGTCTAAATCACATCCCCTACCCCTTACTGCTCTTTCCATTCTACATAAACTAGAATTTTCCTTCAGAAGTGTTATTATTTTCTGACTGAAATTACCAATGTCATTATCTCAATTACTGCCTTAATTTTGCTTTGCTAAATAGAATTTAATCAGCCAATTAATATTTATTAAACACCTACTATAGATCATGATTTTTCTTCATGCTTCCAAAATTTTGAGCTATGAGGGCAATAATCTAGAAAATTATGTTATCACTAACAATATGATCATTTTAACCCGTGCATGTGTGTTCAGTCACTTCAGTCGTGTCTGACTCTACGACTCTGTGAACTGCAGCCTGACAGGCTCCTCTGTCCATGGGATTCTCCAAGGCAAGAATATGGGACTGGGTTGCTATGCCCTCCTCTAGGGGATCTTCCGGACCCAGGGATGGAACCCGTGGCATCTCCTGCATCTTCTGTCTTGCAGACAGATTCTTTACTGCTGAGTCGCCTGGTAAGCCTTTTGACCCTGCATATAACTTCAATTAAAAAACATCATTACTTTAATTTCTAAATTTTAATTTATTTTTTGAGTTTAGTCATTCAGTCGTGTCCGACTCTTTGTGGCCCCATGGACTGTAGCCCACCAGGATTCTCTGTCCATGGGATTTCCCAGGCAAGAATATTGGAATGGGTTGCCATTTCCTTCTGCAGGGGATCTTCCAGACCCAGGGATCAAACCTGCGTCTCTCAAGTCTCCTGCATTGGCAGGTAGGTTCTATTTTTTTTAGTAATTCAGTGTATACTACTATCAGATAATCTGAGTTAAGGTCTGCTTGATATTTGATTATGAACCAAGACCATTTAAAGTTGAGACCATGTAAAAGTATAGATTTTATATCAGTTTATAAAAATGAAAAAGTGATATTGCAGTTACCAGGGGGAAATTATATAACAGTATAAGGATATTTTTAGATCACATAATTTTATGTAGTATGAATATGCTGCTGTCAAACTCATCAGTTAAACTGTCCAGCAAACATGTATCTAAACAATTATATTTTTTGTATTTTGCATCTTCTATATATTCTTTAACTTGTTAACCCAACTGTCAGCTGTCTTATTTGCTTGCTTTTATTTTTAACCAAGTATAGTCATGGGGCCCATTAGAAGGAGAAAATGAATTGATTTCCTAGGAAGATCATTGAATTTTTTAATGCCAACATGGCAATTAAAGCAAAAAATAATTCAAACACAGAATTTATGCCTCAGAATGCAGGCAGGTACTGGAAAAAGCTGACATGCCTAACAAAAACACATTTGTTACATTTGGTTATTATATTCTCACAAATATATTCTTAAAAAAATAGCCTTGTTTGGAAATAGCATTATAGGGATAGGGGAGCCTGGCAGGCTGCAGTCCATGGAGTTGCAAAGAGTCGGACATGAATGAGCGACTAAGCACATACACACACTGATTTTCATAAACCACTTACACCTAGAAATGAATACGGTAGTATAACAATGACAGCTGGAAAGAACTTTGTTTATAATCAACATCAATAGCATTTTGTTCAGACAGCTTTGGGGGTACCAAGTGTTAGCAAAAATTAATTTTAATTCATTTAAAATTTGTTTTGTTACCTTTGTACTTTTACCTCACTCAAAATAATTGAAGTTAAAAAAAAAGGTCCCCTGAGGAGACCTTTTTTTTTTAATAAGTTAAAAAATGAAAACAACACAGAAAATGTCAAATATATTATTAGCAAATAGGTATAGGAAAAATATTCCAAAATTAATTTAAATCTGATTATAATCACTTTACATATATCATATGATTGCTTACATTTCCATTTATTTCTGCAAATCTTGTTTTCTTAAATAATTTGGACAAATGTAAGCAGACTTTGCACTAAAATTGATTTCTTGGCAACAGATTGATAAAATATTCTACCACATTTCCTTTTCTGTCATTGGACTCAAAGTTGGATTTCCTCAAATAATTAGCTTTGCATTAAGAAACAATAATAAAAAGCTCACAAACTCACTTTAAATTTTCATTCAGGAAGTGGTTGTCTGATATAATTCAGCTGATAAATATGAACCTATGTGTTTATCAAATCCCTAAGAAGATTATCTAAATCAACTCCGTGTAATTACCATTCACCATCTGTTCCACCAGGGCCTGAGCTGATCTGCTGGCATCTTGCAGTTTTCTGAACTTCTCGGCTTTTTCTCGCTCTATGGCCTGCAGCATGATAGCAAAGGTGAGTATTCAGTACAAGGATTGTGAAACTACACAGTAATTATAACTTCTACTTGCCCTTTCAAGCCTTAAGATATTTCACTCTGTCAGTTTATCATGAGAATCTAAAGATTTTTTTCCCAAGTTCTTGGCAATAGACGCATCAAAATGGCAATGAAGCAGAAGTCATTTTCATACTGAGTTGTTTCTTAAAAAAATAAAAATAAGATGTCTACTGTAAACATTTGTTACCTGATGGTTTCTGAGGCATTATAAGTTAAGACTGCCCCCCCAAAAGGAACCAAAGTCAAATCATAACAAACCATGAAACAATAAGCTGTTAGATCATTAAAGTGGAATTTACCTTTTAAAAACACACCACTGAAATTGTTACTAATAACATCAGTATATATTCTTTATTAAAAATATAATAGAAAATACAATAAGTATACACAATGGGAAAAAGTATACAAGCATAAATCATTTAGTGAAAAAAAACATTTATCTTAATACAAGACTGCAGGTTAATTTTTCTAAAATTGTCAAAGTGCTCCCATTTCAAGGAAAAAGAAATTCAGTTTCATAAAGCTTCCTAAATCCCTTTGCTCATTTCTCCTAACCAAAGTTAACTTTTAAACAACAGAAACCCAGTTACTTAACAAAATGTAATATTTGATACTGTTGAGCTTAGCAAATAATGTCTCTATAGAGACATCAATTCTAAGCTATCACGCAGTAGAACTATATTACTATAGTCATTAAAAAGCTATGGCTATATGACCCAGCAATCCCACTTCTGGGCAGACACACCGAGGAAACCAGATCTGAAAGAGACACGTGCACCCCAATGTTCATCACAGCACTGTTTATAATAGCCAGGACATGGAAGCAACCCAGATGCCCATCAGCAGACAAATGGATAAGGAAGCTGTGGTACATATACACCATGGAATATTACTCAGCCATTAAAAAGAATTCATTTGAATCAGTTCTAATGAGATGGATGAAACTGGAGCCCATTATACAGAGTGAAGTAAGCCAGAAAGATAAAGACCATTACAGTATACTAACACATATATATGGAATTTAGAAAGATGGTAATGATAACCCTATATGCAAAACAGAAAAAGAGACAGATGTATAGAACAGACTTTTGGACTCCGTGGGAGAAGGCAAGGGTGGGATGTTTCGAGAGAACAGCATCGAAACATGTATATTATCTAGGGTGAAACAGATCACCAGCCCAGGTTGGATGCATGAGACAAGTGCTCGGGCCTGGTGCACTGGGAAGACCCAGAGGGATCGGGTGGAGAGGGAGGTGGGAGGGGGGATCGGGATGGGGAATACATGTAAATCCATGGCTGATTCATGTCAATGTATGACAAAAACCACTACAGTATTGTAAAGTAATTAGCCTCCAACTAATAAAAAAAAAAAAAGAAAAAGCTATGGCTATAACAATGTTATATGTCTTGCAGAAAAAACAAGCTATAATATATTAAACATACAATGAGAGCAATACTTCTATGATTTAATAGTCACCTTATACAAAGATTTCACTTGAGTTTGTGGCAGCAGGTTTTTATACATCAGACTGTTTTGTAAAGCTTTTAGATTTATAGGCATTTAAACAAATATTCCAGATTTTAATATTGGAGTACAGATGGGAAGCATATAATAGATACATGCACACTCTGAGAAGCATTGTTCAATAGAACTTTCAGCAAGAATGGACATAGTCTGTATCTGCATCCCACTAGCCACATGTGTTTGTTTATTGAGCGCTTGAAACATGGCAAGTACAACTGGGTATATTAGCTTTTAATTTAATCTAAGTTGATTTAAATTTTAAAAGCTACAATGTGTCAACTGTAATTGCAGAGTGCAGATCTAGTGTCTTCCCTCTGAAAGCAAAGAGTTAAAGACAGACACAGATCTAGATATGCAGACAGCAGTATAGACACAAACAATATGGCAACACTAAAAATACTTTCAGATAAGTAAGTAATCATCTAAATTGGATGATTCTCCAAGCATATCAAATGCTGGGAACGCTCATAAAATAATCCATATATTTTTAAATATTTTAAAAGATTCTCCAATTTAAAGAAGTAGTCACAAGTGAATAGAATTCTTTAAATTTATTTTAAAAAGAGTTCCATGAACTAGCATTATTGGATTCAAGGTCAAAGAGAGCAAAATTCTAAAAGATAATAGATAATAGAATACATCCAATCAGGAAAAACATATTATACATTAAAACTAATCAAAATTTAGCAAAGTAAGTGAAATAAAATACTAAAAAATATCAGTCTTTTTTAAAAAGTATTTATAGCTTAATTGGAATATAAACACTTTAAATTATGACATCAAGGGCAGCAAATGAGAACACAGTTTCATGTAATTGGTACCAAAACTCCAAAGGTTATAGAAACATTTTAGTATCTTGGATTCTACTTGAAAATTTCTAAGTACACAGACTGTGGTGCTTGGGGATTTATATGTTCCCAGGATCCCATACCAATTAGCAGGTGAAACTTCTGGGTTATCTTGAAAGTCAGTTTCACAAAGACATTACTGAATTGTTTACAAAAGCATGTGCACAACCATGGAAGGCTCTAGCTTGCTACTTGAACTGAAAAGTCCATGAAAATAAAGGAGCCACAATACACTGTTAAAGATAAGAACCTAGACAAAGCTCTAAAATTCACATTTTCTTAATTCTCAACTTTTGTCTTCTAAATTCTCTGTCCTTCATGTCTAATTGCCACGTTTCCTAATACTTTAAATTTATTTTCCATTAAAAGATAAATGCTCTTTGCAAAGGGCTCAGAGAAAAATAAGCATATTCTAAGTAAATATATTCAAATACTCCCACTATCAAGAGTTATAGCAGGATTTGAGGCGTCTCAAATTTTAACTACATCAGGACAAAAAAAAAAGAAAAAATAAATACTCATACTATAACAAAATGACAGCAAGGACAATGAGAACAAACTGTGTTCTTCAACTTAAGCAGTTTCAGAATTACCATTTTCTATCAGAGTGGCCTCTATTTTATCTACATTGAGTTTTTTTAATATATGAAATTATATAAAGAGTAGAATCAGAATACCATGTTGTCTTTATAAATAATGAATAGAAATTATTAATGGCCTTCTAAATGTCATGATCATAAGCTCTTTATTCTAAGCATCTAATGGAATAATCAATTAGTATTACTAACAGAGAGACAAATATAATTGAATATCCTGGGGGCAGTATGTGAGCTTAAATAAACCTTGTTTGGTTAGCCATATTATTCCAATTGTTCTAATTTATGTAACAATAACCAGCATCAGCAGTACAACAAAACAATAATCTCTGGAGTAGATACTATTACTCTCCCATTTTGACAGAGGAGGAAAGCGAGACAGAAATTTGTGAAAGATTTGAAAACATTGACATGACCATGAAAAAAAAAATGGAGTGCCTAACACTGTGTACCAAAATACTGTGTATGTGCATTATTTTATATGTGTTTCAATAGTAATGCTATCAGATAGAATCAGCATTATTTTCTCTTATTTTACACAAGATAAAACTGAGTGCCAATAAGATCATCAAATATCCAAGGTCACAGAGATAAAGGGAACCCCTTGGTGGAGCAGTGGTTAGGACATTGTGCTTCCATTGCTGAGGGCACAGATTTGATCCTTGGTCAGGGAACTAAGATCCCACAAGCTGCCTGGCCTGGCCAAAAACAAGCAAACAGAAAAAGATGACAGAAGTAGAAAGCTTTAGACCCCTGATGATCTAATTACAAGTTAAGGTCTCTTTCAAACATACTCTACTGCTTCTAGGGGTATTTCAATGAAGATGCATCAAACTTACTGCTTCTAGGGGTATTTCAATGAAGATGCATCAAACAGATTTGAACAGATGTGATTCCAACTCACAGTAAAGATAACCTGATAGTTTGGATGTCATCAGAGATGGTATTCAAAATATTAATGCAGCATGGGCACTAAGGTATCAGACGGAATGCCTGGTCACTTGACATGGACACTGACAGTCTATAAGCTGACGGGCAACTGTGTACAGACCAATTACTATGCTCCACAGGCGATGTATATTCCATGCAAACTGGGTAACTGAGGCATAGAGATACAGGTTTAAGAAGCCATTCAATAGCCTCTTCATATTTGTCCATGTTTACATGATACCTGAGTTCTGATAAGTTACATCACTTTAAAGAGGAATATTGGAAAATAAAGAGAAATACTGGCACAAATGTGCCTTGGGAAGTATGAAGACGTTAGTGAAGAGTCCAGCAACTTTCATTTCATACACAGCTATAGATAGTTGACTAAAAATAAAATGAAAAAATTTAGGGTAGCAAAGAGACAGGAATGAAGGTAATCAAACTTTTGAAGTCATTCTGTTTTTAGTTGGTTTGAAGGCTGTCCCCACTGCTTTCTGCTTTTTGACAGTCAGAAAGTGTCACTGGTTGATTCTCAGTCCTCAACTTACTTATCAGGATAATTTGGTTCAGAGCAGTCCTCTTCTTGGCAATGCTGATGTGACTTCCTAGACTATGAGCACACACTTCCTCCAACCTCAAAGACTGCCTTTACGCAGTCTGCCATGCAGGTTCCTCATCTCCCCGACCTCTACATACAGCATGTTCTCGGACTCCATCTATATTTACATTCGTTCAGTCCAATGACTTTGCATCCTTGACTCTTTATCTCAAACCCCACAGGCAATCCATCAGAATATCCTACTGACTCTCACCTCAAAACACATCCAGAAAGTGATGCTGCAACTGTACTCACTACTGCTCCACTAGTCAAAAGACCCCCATCATCTCTCACGAGTCTGGATGTTTCAGAATAACCTACTAAATGGGATTCCTACTCCTGCCTTGGCCCCCTAATGATACATTCTCAACAGAGATGACAGAGGAAGCCAGCCCACTCTCCAGAAGTTCCCTTCTCACTCAGAGCAAAAGCTCAAAGCCT